AGCCGGTCCCTGCCGTTAGCGCGGGGCCTGGGGCTCGCCCTAACCCGAGGATGCAGCTGTGCGAACGTGGCAACTGTGCTGGACCATCCCCCCATCCTCATCCCCATCCGCCATCCTTCACCCCCCATCCTCATCTGCATCCCCATCCCTATCCTCCATCCTCATCTCCATCCTCCATCCCCATAACTCCGTCCCCCATCCTTATCCCCATCCCCCATCCTTCATCCTTCCCCTCATCTCCTGCCTGCAGTTCCTGCAGGGTGCCAGCTCAGGGATGGCAGTGGCATGTCCCCTCTAGAGGCTTGCGCCCAGCACATGGGGTGCTGTGGCTTGGGGCTCTCCTGGGGCTGGAAGAAGCAGCTCTTGGCTAATGCCACCTCTCCAGAACACTCCCAGGGTGCTGGAGACATGAGCTCAGCCAGGAGCCAGGCTGGTTCCAGCTTCTTCAACCCCAGCATCCGCTCCAGGGATGGAGCTGGAGGGACCACCCAGCTCGGGCAGGATGCAGGCAGTGGCAGAGGGAGAGTCTGGTGGGACTGGGGGTGGAAAAGGAGACAAACGGCTCTTCCCAAGGGAGAAAGGGTCTTTATTAACCACCCGACTGGTGGTGAGGGACTGAGTGATGGCAAGGAACTGGGTGACGATGAAGGACCCAGTGATGGTGAGGAACCTGCAGTGCCAGGCTGAAGGCTTCCCCCCCAGGTAGGGATGATGGCTCAGAGCTGAGCCCAGTCCTCAGCCTGAGCTGTGCTGAGGTCTGCGCCCTCCAGAAGACCCCCCTTTGCCCCTTGTCGCATCAGGACCATGGTCTGGACACAGCCCCGCTGCCAATTTAGGAGGAGGATGCTGTTGGACCTGGCTATTGCAGGAGCATCTCCCTGTCCTGGGGGCTGTTGCAGCATGGTGCCAACAGAGGAAGGGGCGGGGGGGCAGAAGAAGATGCTGTTTTGGGGATGCTGACATAGCACACGCCCTTCTCACCAGGTCCCAGTGCCATGGGTCCCCTCAGTCCCCCATTCCCTGCGTGGGGGAGCCACAGGGAGGGTCCTCTTGAGCCATGGTCTGGGCTTGGCACAGCACTGGGGTCCTCCTGAGCCATGGGCTCAGCACAGCAGCCAGCACTGCCTGGTGCTGGGGGCTGCAGGCTCAGGGGTCCCGCTGCCACAGGGAGATGTGCTCCTGGGCTGCGATGGGATGCGGAGAGTCAGTGTCCCCCGTGCCAGCAAGGACACAGAGGTCTGGGCAGGGCTGGCTGCAGGGCACAGAGCCAGCAGAGCCGGTGACCAGCACCCCAGGGCTCGGCATCCTCAGGAAGGTGCAGGAGGCCTCCTGGCCACTCACTCACCAAACTGGCAGATGTACCGGTTTCGGGTCTTGCAGCGCTGGTCGTTCCAGTTGAAGGCGGCTGACGCTTGCATCTCCACGCAGTTCCCGAACCTGTGACCCGGCAGGAGGGCAGTAAGGCCAGCCAGTGTGGTGACACAGCGGTGACATCGCGCAGAGGTCGGGTGTGCTCTGGATCCAGTAGGCACTTACCCCTGGTTGTCTGGCTGCCCAAAAGCAAAGCTGGTGAAGGAGGACGGCTCGCCCACGTCCCAGCGGAAGGAAGCCTTGGACATCTTGTAGGTGAGACCTGGGGGAGCAGGAGGTGAGGTGGCACAGCCACTCGCACTCTGGGCACCCCACACCCTTTCTGCCACTGTCACTTACCAATCCAGAAGTTGCCAGTCTCAAAATCGGTGTCTGTCACCCTGTTACCAGTCTCCAAGCGGCTGAGGTAGAAAGCCAGGATGTCCTGGACCTTCTGGTTTCCGATCTGGGCCAGCATCGCCCCTTTCTCCTGCAGGGGAGGGAGCAAGTCGGCCCCAAGCATGTGGCACAGACCCATGCCAGGCAGCAGAGAGGTGCACGGGTGGGATTTTTCAGCCACAACGGCATGCCCAGAGCATCCCGAGGGCTCACCTGGCACTTTATTTTGGCTCCATAGTAGGTGTCGGCCTCGGGGGACACCATGAAGCAGTCGCCGTCTATCCTAACGTCGCAGGCGTGGAAAGGGAACCGAATCTTCGCTAGGGACACAGGCAGGTGCAGGTGGGTCCCTGTGCCGGCAGAGCCAGGGCCATCTGAGGACCCTTAGCCCTGTGCTGGGGGTCCCTGCCAGCAGATCCCTGCTGCCCCAACAAAACAGCTCCGGTGGG